CACACACACACACACACACACACACACACACACACACACACACACACTATGTGATACACAACATATCCATGGAGCAGAGCTTTCACTCTGACACATTATAGACACCAAGAGGCACACAGCAAGATGATCTGCGGGAGGTGATCACTGGGCTAAGAGGGGTTGGAACGTAATGCTGCCATGCTTCAAGCTGACCTCTCTCTGAATCATCCTTGGCTCCTCACACCCAGAGCTGATGGTGTCTTCCCTCTCCTATCTCCCCACAGTTTGGCAGAACTGGAGAAGGAAGTGGGCAATCTCAGGAGGGGCCTCCAAGCAGTGGAGGTGGTAAGTGAGCCTGCTGGACCTGCATGGAGGCTTTTGTGGAGAAGTCAGGGTTGCTGCCACCACTGGGTCCAGTGCCCCCTGCTGCCACATCTCAGACAGCAGAAACCCTGTGTGATACACTTTGATGACCTGGGGCTCCTGGATGGGAAGGTGGGACAGCCGCACAGTGGACAGAGCCTTCAGGAAAAAGTGATCCACCTTCTTGGGGTTTACATTTAGACCCTGACAGAAGGGCTGTTTGTCTGAGACTCTCTATGTCACCGAGCAGGGAGACTGAACCCTAGGACTGTCACATGCTCAGGTTTGACCACAGTGAGTGCACTGAGCTGACTATGGGAGGCTTACAGCAGTGTGGCAGTGGGGACTGCCAGCCCCATGAGAGCCTACCTTACACCTCTTCCCTTCATGCCTGAACTAGTGGAGGCCCTGAGGGTTCATCCACTCATTGATGAGAACTTAGGCATCTTAGGTCTTTTGAGATGGCTAAACAAGTCCACCAATGGAGTGGCTTTGCTAAACAAGACATTTACCTCTTTGAATTTAGCATGGTGGGCCATTTAAGATCACAGGCTTGGCAGGTCTGATGTCCTGAGGGCCTGGTCCTCATGGGTGGGACCTTCTCACTGTGTCCTCACGTGATAGAAAGGACAAACTCCCTGGGACTCACAGTTAGGACCACTATACAAGGACACTGCCCTTATGACCTAGTCACTTGACAGGAGTGTCCAATCCATGACCCGCAGGTCACATGAGCTTCGGGAGAGCTATGAATGGGGCCTGGCACAAACCCACAAACTTACTTAAGACATTATGTTTTTCTTATTATCTCTTCATTACTTGGTTGTGCACTTTGTAGATGACAACACCATGCCATAGTGTCAAACCTTTGGATGCACCTGTGAGATCCCATCTCCTTGCTTTGTTTTAGGGCTTAGGATTTCAATACAGGCACAATGAGAGGACACAAACACTGGATCCCAGTGCTGGGTCTCTGGTCCTGTTACTACCATTGCTGTTCTCACACCTTCATAGCTGATGTACTCTCTGAGACATCTTCAACTCTTTGTCCCTCACACTTGGAAACTAGAGACTTTTCCCAGAATTCTCAAGAAGGAAGGGGGAGGGTAAGAGGAGAATCGATTCAGGCTAAAGTTAGGAATCAGAGAACCTTCTTATATTGCTACCATGGCTGATGGTTTTCATCTTGATGGTCCTGGAAGATGCTACTTAAAGTGTGGATCACAGCCCAGCAGCAAGATTTCCCAGGCAATACCACTTGCCCCCGATTCACTCAAAAGCCATTCCAGAAAGGAGAGTGGTGGTGATGGGCTAGGGAAGGATATAAACAGCTGCCCAGACCAACAACTCTCAGAGGCAGCATTGCCTTCAGAACTGTGAACCCAGGCTCATCTTTCCCAAAGGCATGTGCAATGTCCTGTGGCTAACAAGGAGCATGTGATGGCCCCTGAACTCTTTCTGTCTAAATTGTGCTTTTTCTTCCCTTCCCAGGAGTTGGAATATCAAAAGTGCCAGGCACGGGACCCCAATGACAAATTTGTTCCTGTCATGAGTGACTTCATCACAGTGTCCAGCTTCAGTTTCTCAGAGCTGGAGGACCAGCTCAATGAGGCCAGGGAAAAGGTAAAGGTGGCCCAGCACCCCCCCATTGCTCCTCAACTTATCATTGCCTAGACCTGATTTCCACCTGGTCCTACCATGGACAGGGACAAACCCAGTGCCTCAGAGCCCAGAGAAATTCCATCTCCTCTCGCCTCCAAGGCAACCAACGACAACCTCATACTGCAGAGACCAGGGTTTACTGTTTAGGTACCCACCACCAGAAGCATTGTTTTCAATTTTATTTTTGTGTATGTGTGTGTGTTTGTGTGTGTGCTTTTGTACACCTGCATGGGAGACCAGAGGTCAACCTCGGGTATCATTCCTTAGGAGCCGAAGACCTTATTTTTTGTAACCGAGTCTCATTAGGACCTGGGTCTCAATGATTAGGCTAAACTGGTTGGCCAGCAAGGTTCAGAGATCCTCTTGCATCCTCCTCCCCAGTGCTGAGATCACACCACCAAACCCTGACTAAATGCTTGGGATCAATGACTCAGATCATTGCCCTTGCATGGCAAGCACTTGACTAAATGAGCCCCACTCCAGCCCTACCTTACCCCACCCCAGTCCCACCCCAGGCACCCCCAAATCCAACCTAGCCCCACCCCACCCCAACTCTACTCCACCTCCACCTCAGGTACCCCCAAACCCAACTTAACCCCAACCCACCCCATCCCCACCCCAGGACCCCTAGCCCCAACCTAGCCCCATCCTAACTCCACCCCACCCCCACCGCATCCCCACACCAGCCCCACCATAAGTATCTCATTCCTCGCCCACCTTCCAGACAAGTTTGCTGAAAGTTTATAGTCCTATTAAACAGATGTAAACACTGAGAAGAGGGGTTCAGTCACTTGGGTGAGCATCCCGAGTGCCTAGCTCAGCTGTGAACTTGCTGGCACTCTACCTGTGTGGATGCAAAAGGACCCATGTGCGGGGTTACCTTTAACGTGGAGACCCAGGGTAGGGCTGGAGAGGCAGCATTTCCAGCAAACTCCCAGAAAGAGCTTAGGCTGCTAGTCCCAGGAAGACTTTGTGTGTGTGTGTGTGGGGGGGGCGTTTCCTAAACATCGTGTGAGTTGGGTAAGAGAACACAGTGCTCAAAGTCAGAGTGGAGCCTGCTTCATGGACACAGAGCCAGTCGCTTCTGTCACTGCATTTAACCCCCATAATAATACCGTGAGGCTGACCCCTACTTCACAGGTGAAGAAGTCAAGTCACAGAAGGCTAAGTAAGTCACCCATCAACTAAGTCACCCAGTGACTAGATGGCCTGTGAGGGCCTATCCACTCCAGCCAGCCAGAGCCTGACTTTAGATAAGTCTTCCCAGGTCACCAGCTCCTGATCTGAGGTGGCATGAAGGGAGACCGTCAGGTAGACTCAACCCATCAGCCCAGAGGTCAGCCTCATGGGTTTTGCTCTTGGGTGGGGGTGGGGGAGATAACAAGGTAGGGACAAAGAATGACTCACTAGTGAATTTTGTAGGTGAACCCTGGGGTTTGAATCTTCTTTCTCCATGCCTACAACCCTGCAGTTTGGACTGGGCTCAGCTGGGAGCTAGCTGACTGCAGGCTTGGGCTTACCACACTTCTGCCTGTGTCTTTTACAGTTTGCCAAGGCGTTGACACACTTTGGAGAACAGGAAAGTAAGATGCAGCCGGACGAGTTCTTTGGCATCTTTGATACCTTCTTACAGGCCTTCTTGGAGGCCCGGCAGGACCTGGAGGCCATGAGGAGGAGGAAGGAGGAGGATGAGCGGAGGGCACGCATGGAATCCATGGTGAGGGCAGGGCCTGACTGGGGACAGGATGTGGCAGAGTTGGGTATGCAGGACAGGATGCTCCTTGGAGTATGTGAGATTAAATAGGAGCTGGGCACATTTTGGGGGCTACTGTTAGCCACAAAAGAGAGAAACATCTCCCAGCATGGGGAGAGAAAGCCATGTAAGGTGGGGTATCTTGAGAAGCAGCAGAGTGGCCCCTGGCAGGTGAAGCATGTGCAGGGTAGGGGTAGGCCCGGGCTGGGAGAGCATCTAAGGACCAGAGAGCTGCTGGCGGTCCCTGAGTCACTTCTCCTTTCCACTCTCAGTTAAAGGAGCAGCGTGAAAAGGAGAGATGGCAGAGGCAGCGGAAGGTTCTGGCAGGCGGCACACTGGAGGAGAGTGGAGAGTTTGATGACCTGGTGTCAGCTTTGCGTTCTGGAGAAGTTTTTGACAAGGACTTAAGCAAGTTCAAGCGCAACCGCAAGCGAACAGGGACTCAGGCTCCAGAGGTCACCCGCGAGCGGGCAATAAACAGGCTAAATTATTGACTTGGGGACCGGGTACTGGCCACATAGCAGCAGGCCTGGAGATAGGGAGACAGGCGCTGAAGAGAAGCAGCAGTGACTGAAGTGGTATGGAAAGCTGGGTTTGGGAGCCCTGGGCTGGGTCCTAGGGGATGTGTGTGGCTAGACCAGGTGTCTCCCACACTGATGGAGGGTCTTCTCTCATCTCCCTGCTACATCATTCATTCACGTCCTGTCTCTCCCTGTGACCCTCCCTCTCCTGACCATCACTCTCTAAGACCAGCTTCGATATCCCTGGCAGGCCCTGGGCTTTGGTCAGGAAATCCCAGACTGGAGGACATGGTTCTCCACACCTTATGTTGGCACGGAGCTGTTTAAAATCCAGGAGACCACATTCCTTTTCCGAACTCTCATACATTATGGGGTGATGGAGTGGGACCCGAGAGCCAGCAGCAGGGACTCATGGCTCCCATCGGAAGAGACAGCTCAATAGAACATGGATCTGGGGTAGACTAGAGGCCTTATGTGTTCTAGTAAGATAGCTCTAGCATCCAGAAGGACGCATGTAGAGAGGGACCAGGCCCAGCAAGCAAGTTATTTGCATTTTTCCTAGAGTAAGTTCTGTGGTCTCTCCTCTTCTCCCAGCCACCCCCATCCCACTCACTAATCTCTGGTTCCCAGATTCATCTCTGGATTGCAGAACTCTGGCTCCCCAGCAGCTTATACTATGGCTCTGGTAAGAAGGGGTGTGGAAGAAGACCCTTCTTCGCTTTACCAGGTTCAGGCCTAGGGACCCCAAAGCAAACCCCAAGGCAACCTGACCATTGTCTGGGTTCCCAGTGGTTTCTGATCAGAGGACAGCTCTCAAATGCTTCACTCCCGTGGGAGTGCCTCATGGCCGGTTCACTCGGCCGGTCCCTTCCATGCCAGTGGTCTCTCTGACTCCATCTGAGGTCACGCGGAGCTCCGCGTACTTGGCTGCAGCTGGCCTTGGGAGCTGCTCCTGAGGGCTAAAACCACCCTCCACATTTGACTGTCATTCTGAGGGAGACGTGTAGACGGGGTTGAGATCAGGGGATACTGAGAGGAGGGAGAGGAGAGCTTCTGAAGGATGCTCACCTCAGGGTTTTGCCCCCTCATCGTGCCCAGTTGCATAGGGCCCCTCTGGCCCTATTTCCTCTTTTTCTGTCCGTCTTCAGTTGTTTTAATGGCACGGGTGGGCAGCACTACATCTACACAAATGTTCTAAATGGAGTAGGGAAGATCAGCTCCGTGGAGGTTCTAATTGTCTAAAGTACCCTGTTCCCTCTCATCTTGAGACAGTCTTGCAAGGTTACCATCTGCCAGCTCCTGGATCATCCCATCTAACCCCCTGTCTCAGCGTCATTGCCAGTGGCTGTGGATGTTCACGCCTGTAATTGCCCATCTTCTGTTTTCCTGCATGAGACTCTCAGGGGGTGGGACCGTAGTAGCCGTGGGGAGGAGAAACACAGGTTCAGCTCGGCATGTGCACTGATTTGAGAGGGGCAGCAAATAGAAGCCAGCCCGAGAGGGCAAAGGGGCTTCTAGGAAGAGTGGCTAATGCCCCCCGTCACCCCAACAAGCAAACTCTTGAGAGTGAGGAAGCCGGAGCTGGACAACCTCCCATCTTCTTCCAAACTGGCCAGGCTGTCAGCCTAACAAGTTAGGGGCAGGCAGCAGGCATGGCTGTGTTCTGCCGTCCCAAGCACCACACAGACTGGACAAGCACTGGGAAAGACAAGATGGAAGTTCCTGAAGGAACATGTTGGATCCTCAGAAAAGCCATTTGGCATCTCTCCAGAGCCCAGCCATTTCACCCCAAATAATTTTGCCTTCTCTATTTATTATTTTCCAAATCTGGCCAGTGGCTCTGGTGCTGTATGTCTTTGTACCAGATTTCAACAGTGCCTTGGACCACGGACCATGGTGGGTGACTGAGCAGAAAGTGACTGGTGCCCAGCAGAGGTCCTCAATGTTAGATGACGTCTACCCCAGTATTGCCCTACCCTTCCTGCTGACTGTGGGTCAACTGCTCCAGGTAACCTTGTGCACAATGCAAGATTCACAGTCCAGCCAATGCATCCCTTCTCAGCAGAGGCAATTTCCTTCCCCAAATGGAAGTTTGTCCAGGGGGTAGGACAATGCTCTCCAGGTGGGTAGAGTCAGGCATGGGTGCTTCCCATCCACTCCTATTGCCACCAACTGAGGAGCTGTGACCACCTCCCCAGGACATGTGTCAGCCTTTATGCCAAGACCACTCACCAGCTGCTGCAGAAGACAAATAAGGCTCAAATATGTACAGAATCCTACAGTGTCCTTTTTACCTGCACCCTTTTTTAAGAATATATTGTAATACTAAAAGATATTAAATTCATCCTCACCCCAACCTGCCTAGAAGCTTTTCTTCCCATGTGGACTTGGGTTGTTCTGGAGTGGGCTGGGCCAGCGGTGGGCTGAAGCTAGCTCCTGGCAGTTTTATCCAGTTCCATGAGGGCCAATGTACATTTTCTGGAATGTCCCAAACCAACTGAGGTTTCTGTGGATGACTTGAGTTGGGGACATTTGTCGCAGAAACCCGTTCATGTCTTAAAGAGCCAATTGTTAAATATTCGCCATCACACAAGGCAGAGGGGCGCCAGGTCAGGGGCACCTCTGCAGACAGACCACCTTTGAGAACACAGCATGCCAGGCTGGATGGGGCGCATCAACTCAGAGGTTCTAGTTCATAAGCCTGGTCTCCAAGAGTTGATGATGCAGCTGAGCCTGGTCTCCCAGCTGTAGACTGCCTTAGGACTCAGTCTGCATTTCACTGTCTCCCACAGGGCAGTCCAGAGAATATGCCCCTTGGCCTTTCTAGGGTCCCTCTTCCCACCCCCTTTCAGGGAGTGTCTTGGAATGGGGCTGACGGGCAAAACTTAACTTGTGCTCTTCTCACAGACAAAGATCCTAAGCCTCAAGTCCAGAGCTGGCACCATGGCTTTATTTGTGCGTTGTAAGGGCGAAGGTCACCTTCGACTCTTCTTTCTCAGATATGTGCCAGAGCAGACACCACAGTGAACAGAACCAGGTGTGGGTAAGGGTCGGCACGAGTTCTTAGGGTTGTAGTCCGTAAGTTCATCCCATTGGACGAGAGGGCGGAGGCCAGGGATGGGGACACTGGGATACATTCTTTAGGAAGTTTGTGCTTTTCCTTCCTCTAAGTGGGGTCCTCTGCTTAATTAGTCCTTTTATCTCCCCAGGAAAGAGAAGAGAAGAGAGAACCCTAAGTAAGCTGTCCATCTGAAACAATCCATATAATATGACTGATGTGGGGTTCCAGTACCAAACCTTCCATTACTGGGGTCCTGGAAGGTGTCAAGGCCAGAGGTGTCTTATGTTGAGGACATCTTCCAGGTTATAATAAATCTCAACGGTAAAGAGACAGGGTGACCTTAGGTCAGAGTGACTAGGTTTAGAGGAATGTGACATCTTTTCCTCGGCCCAAATTGCACCCCATTGGGAGACACGGCTGGAGAGTGAGTGGGCTACTCTTAAGCCCGGTGGAAGTCCCCCCGCTGACCTCCAGTCTTGCTGAGGAGCTTGACCTCCGCCACCACGATGTCCCTGCTGACTGCCTTGCACATGTCATACAGGGTAAGTGCAGCCATGGCAGCCGAGGTCAGTGCCTCCATCTCCACCCCAGTGGGGCCTCGGGCCCGGCAGGATGCCTGGATCAGCACGGCATTACGTGTACTGTCCAGCTCCAGACTCAGCTGCACATGGCTCAGGGCCACATGGTGGCACAGGGGGATCAGCTGACTGGTTAGCTTGGCTGCCTGGACTCCAGCCAGCTGGGCCACTGCCAGAGCATCTCCCTTCTTCAGCTGGTTCTGCTGGACAAGCTTGAAGGCCACAGGTCCAAGAAGAACCAGAGCAGAGGCCACAGCCACCCGCTCTGTATCTGGCTTCCCGCCCACATCTACCATAGCTGCCCGTCCTTCTGAATCCACATGAGTTAGCTGAGTTGAGGTTGGCCCTGGTCCTGAGGGGACAGCAGGATCCTGGGACCCTATGCTGAGGCACTTTGAGTGAGTGTTCGAGTTGGGGTAGCAGCTGTAGTGTCTCTGAGGGGAGCCAGACCCGAGACACTGCTGAGACAGAGGAAGGGCTATGGGGAAACGGAGTCTCTTCCACAAAGTTGTCATCTGGCCAGAGAGTTTCTCTCTGGCACTCAGATTCCAAACACAGAGGGGATCCCGGGAGAAAGTGCTCCAACTAGCTGGTGGGGAATCTTGAAGCACCAAAAATAGCCCTGAAAGGAGACAAGAGAAGAGACTGAGCCTCCAAACAAATCTTTCCTCCACCTCTTCTCCTGACCCCTCACTGTCCCATCATGGGACATTTAAGTTCTCATTCACACTAGGGAGAAGAAGGAAGAACAAAAGCAGACTGAGTGCCGGGCGTGGTGCTGCACGCCTTTAATCCCAGGACTCAGGGGCAGAGGCAGGTGGGTCTCTGTGAGTTGAGGCCAGCCTCGTCTACAGAGCAAGTTCCAGGACAGCCAGGGCTACACAGAAAAACCTTGTCTTGAAAAAAAGAAAGAAAAAAGGAGAGAGAGAAAAAAAATGAAAGGAAAGATTTAAAAACAAGAGATGACGACTACTGAGGGACCTGAGGTTGTCACCCCACCCTACTGGACCCCCAGGGACAGGGGTGGGTGGTTACGTACTGATAGATCACCCACCGATGAGGATCATGGGCCGGTTCTTCATCTGGGCAATATTGAACATGCCTGGTGGGAAAGCGGGGAGGATGGAGAAGGGGGCACTCACTGAAATGCACGGGCAGATGGATGTGGCCCCAAAGTCCCATGCAGAGCTACAAGCATTCCCACACATCACTGCGAGGTCACCCAAGGTGGAGCCAGAGAACAGTCTGCGGATACCCAGGGACCTGGCACTTCCTCCCTCTCCTAAAGACAACACGAGGGAAACCAGGGATCCTGTGATATCTCAGCCTGGTAAAGCAGATCAGGAGAATTTTGGGGTCCCCATGTGTAGCCCGTGCTATGTTAATTTCTTCAAAGAAGAACTACCACACCCCAAGTTCAAAGTTTCCACAGAAGTGACCAGTGGCCTGGAGGACACTGAGACGGGGCACCCTTGGCCCGGGCTTGCTTTATCCTTCCCCCTCTCCTCCACTTTTCTCAGACTAACCCGACCATTCCCCCCAGCCCTTACCTGCATGCTGCCGCTTCTTCCTACCTACTGCTGCCCCAATGATTCTCAGAAGCTCCTCCTCGGAGGCTCCTGCCCGCAAGTGGTCCCGCAGGGACACCTCAGAGTTCCCGAAGAGGCAGACCTGTTGTGGGTGAGAGAACAACTTGTCAGCCACTAGCCACACAGTGCTCATGCCTCCGACAGCAGGCTCACACGGGAGGCAGGACTCAGGGCTATGGGGGGCGGGGCAGAAGGGACTAGACATGCAAGAAGTAAAAATCAGACTTCTGTGTGGAGCTTAGCCACACTCCTTTCAGAGTGCATTGTATACACGGAGAATCAAATGCATATGAAGAGAGAACATATGAATCCAGGGCTGCTGCTATTGTCTGAGACATCTGATGGGGAAGCCACTGTCACCATGAGTGCAGGCCCCCATCCATGGGGAACTGAGCACCCGGGAGGTGGTACACACATCCCATTCCTTCCCATAGGGATACTACCACCTACTGCCTATTTCAGTCCATGGTCCCTGCTCGTGGCTGAGCAGCCGAGGGCTTTGGAAAGGGCAGCTTTGGAGTTTTTGTTTGTGTCTGAGCCAGAGACTCAGTTTTTTAGCTCAGGATGTTGTTCAGGATGGCTGGGAACTGACAGGAACCCTCCTCCATCTGACTGTGCTGGGTGGCAGGTGTGAGCGTAACATCTGACTGGAGACAACATCAGTGGCCACTCAGTCCTAACTCACTGTTCCCTAGCTTCTGTGAGAAGCCTGGTCATGAGATGAGATGGATACGGTACCACTCTGTCACAGAACTTGTGTCGGCTGTGTGTGTAGACACAGAATGTCTGAAGAGCCAGGAAGGGCCAAGCTCTGGAGAAGTCAGGACTGAAGGCCCAGCTTCTTCACTATGTCAGGCATTCCCCTTTCCTACAGCTGCTGTGGGATGGTCTTTGTGTACACTGTGAATATGTTTTGCTCTCATTGGTTGATAAATAAAGCTGCTTTGGCCTATGGCAAGGCAGGAGAGAGCAATCAAGCAGAGAGATACAGAAGGGTGGAGCCTGAGAGATGCCAGAGCACCACAAGTATGCCACAGGCCACATGGTGATATACCGACTAATAGAATATAGGTTAATTTAAATGTGAAGAGCTAGCAAATAATAAGCCTGAGCCATCGACCAAGCATTTATAAGTAATATTAAACCTCTGAATGGTTGTTTGGGAACTGGCAAGTGGCAGAGAAACCTCCAGCTACAAATGGAGTCCACTGTCTGGTGTGGAGCCACGTAAGACCTGAGAAAACTTAAAAAAGATTCTAAATGCACAGGAACTGATCTGTATTGGGTTCCTAGTCTCAGTCTTGTTCCAGCAGCAGCACAGAGATGCGCCTCCCAACAGCAACCTGCAAGATGGAGCCATCCACCAGCCTCTACAGTCTCACCAGCCTCAGTTCAGAGAGGCTAATCAGCCATGTGCTGTGTGGTGGATTTCGTTTGTGCTCATAAAGACAAAAAGGGCTAAAAGATACAGAATAAAAAGAGATCCAGGTAGAAAAACCGCTAAACAGGTTTCAATGTGTTTTTACAATGTGTGTAGCCTAAAGAAAAAAAATAAAATGGGTATTGACAATTATAGAAAGGAATAAATAGTTTAAAAATAATATATTAAAGTCTTTATAGAGAGAAATAAAATAAAAAGTTATGTAGAGATGGGAATACACAGGAAGTTTGGGTCCTGTATAGTAGTGTTGGTTCTGAATGGTCTGAATGCCGACAAACAACAATTGTCCGAGAGACATGGACTGATAACATACACCAAACTGAATATTTTTAAATGCCTCAGCTTTAAAACAGAAGTCAAAAATGTATCTGTAAAGTGGAACTTAAAAGATGCACTGCTTCAAAGAAGCAGTTTTGCTTTTGTTTCCACAGGAAACAAGAGGCTGTGGATTTGTTCCAGATTAAGATGTGGTGTGGAAAGTCCTTCTGTGTATGTGTTGCTTTTATTGGTTAATAAAGAAGCTGCTTTTGGCCAATGGCTTAACAGAATATAGCCAGGGTTGAATATATATATATATATATATATATATATATATATATATATATAT